CTGAAACGTGTTAAGAGTGCATTGATTCGAAAACTTCCGTTAAAAATTGCTTTGGTCAAATTTAGTACGTCTAAGAAGTTGGCAGTTATTTTTTTTAATAAGGTCTGGGTTAGCAGGCTCAATGAGTTAAGTTGAGTGGGACATAGGCTTGTGAAGAGCCTAAGAGACCCAATATATAAGCAATGTGGTTTGTGTTCTATATTTATTAAAAGTCAATAAATTTACCTGCAAAGTTTGTAATGCTGCTTGCAGGGACGGAAAAGTGGCGTATAAAGTCGGGAACGTTACGTGCAAAATAGGTAAACCTACGTAGAATGTATGAGATGATACGTTATTAGTAGAAGGTTGAATTGGAAGGTCTGTAAAACACCCGCCATTTTCCACGGAAAAGTAGAGTACGTTAAATGGTAAGTCCTGAAACTTACGAAGTCGATATGAAGTCGACACAATTACGTGCAAAGCAGGTAATACTATGTGCAGAGTCTGTCAATAAATTCTGAATTTATTGGTAACATTTTTTTAAAGTTGCGTGCAAAATAGGGAAAGTTACATAGAAAGCCTTAAACTTGCGTAAAAACTGTGGAAGACTGTACAAATCTGCTTGTGAAACTGGTTAGATTACTGTGAAAGCCTGTAAAATTGCATCCACAATTGGTAAAGTTACGAATAACTTTTGTATTGCTATGTGCTAAACGTTGAAGCTAGAAAGTTGCGTGGAAAGTTACACTGCTGTGTGTGAGGTATGTAAGAGCTAAATCAAAAATTGGTAAAGTTACGTGGAAAGGCTGGGAAGTAAATTCAAGGTTCGTGAAGTTAATTGAAAAGATTTACGTGGAAAATGTGTAGAATTGCTGGCAAATATGGGAAAGTTACGTGAAAAGTATTTTATTGCTACCTGGTAAGTGTGCAAAGTTACGTCAAAAACCTTGTGTGCAAAGATGGCAATGTTACGTGACAAGTCTTCAAAATTGCGTACAAAGTTGGTGAAGTTACGTAGAAAGTCTGCACAGCTACGTAGAAAGTATGTAAAGTCTGCAAATGTACGTGCAATGATGAAAAAGTCTTAATAGCTACGTACGATGTGTGCAATTTCGCGTGTGAAGATATAATGTTACGAGAAAACTTTGCATGCAAAGTAGCTAAATTTAAATGGGATACTGCAAAGTTACGTGCAAAGTTGAAAAAGTTATGAGAAAAGTCTGTACATCTGCTTGCCCGGTCTGCAAATTTTCAGGCAATAATGGAAAAGTCTGTATTGCTACATGACAAGTCTACAAAGTTGCGTGCAAGGTTGAAAACGTTAGATGGAAACACTGCAATCGTAAATTTAGATGGAAAACGTGCAAAGCTGGTAAAGGTACGTGAAAAGTTGTTACAGCTAATTGCCAAGTCTGTAAATAAGCATGCAAAGTTAGTAAAATTGCGTGACAATTAATTCTGCAAACTTACGCGCAAATTTGAGAAAGGTATGTGAAAAGACTTTTTAGCTACTTACCAAGTTATGACATGTGTATGCAAAGTTGGTAAATTACGTGAAAAGTCTTTATTGCCGCGTGGCCTCAGCTTTAACCCTTGGCAGATTTCACCACGATTTACTGTATTTCGCACGCCCTCAAACGATTATAAGATTCACCTGAGCTCATTTGCATTACCAAATCACGATAGAGACAACATATTACTTGGTAACATCAAAAATGGTTAAATATAGAAATCAACGTGATGCTAGCTCTTTCTCTGTGAACGAGCCCACTGACCATCAAATGTAGAACCTAGTGCTGTATCGAAGGGATATGATGTGTTTGTTGCAACGAAGAACGGATCGAACAAGTCGACATGTTTTGTTTTTCGACGTGCAGTTTACTTAATTACGGTTTGCACAAATATTCCATTACATCGTCTTCACTCACTTGTCCACAAACAATTGTCAACGTTAGAATAATAAATTTTGGAAACGTGTAAACGAATATAGACCCTCTGTTCTTGACTCCCGGCGACTCAGCTACGCGCCACCATTGTTTTAATCTGTGATGACATTTGTGATACAGTGATGCTGATTGGTGGCGCCAGCTCCTTGGCGCGGCCCGGGGAGGGGGAGCTACTTCCACGTTAAGTGGGTAGGGGTGTGCAGCCCACCTCTCGTAAACCATACTCACTTTTGGACTATTTTTTCTATTTAATATACCCACTTCTAAACACACGCGTTTTCAGCCAAAAAACAAAACACCAAGCTCACAACTTTCGCAACCAGTGAGCGCATCCGGGCGATGCATTTTATGCAGCCTTATCCAGTATTTGGCTTTGAATATAACGACCTGTGAAAAAGTAAATAAATGCTACACACTTCTAAACCAAAACATTAATAAATGACCACCCACTTCTAAACAAAATAACGTGAAATGACACCCAAGTCG